TTGCATATATTTTTTAATTGCACTTATTTATAAGGATTGAGCACACTGAAATTTACAGCACATTTACACCAACCAAGGCCACCTAAGCATATTTTCGACAAATGTTTAACCAGCTTTGAATGACTAAACTGCAGCAGAATTCTTCCATCTTTGTCGCTAATTGATTACTTAAGATAGCACACGCCAAGTCAGATGTAATTTGAATGTTAATATTGTTCACAAAACATATGTTGACTGACTATCACGTGTAGAAAATTTTAATAGGTTAGCCTCGTTTGGATTAGATGCACTGTAATAGCCACGATATAGCTAATAATACTAAAATGATAAAAATGAAAACACATAGTCTTCATCACCCGAGTCGCGGTCCATTTTTAGTAAAAGAAAAAACGTTTTTTTTATGTTTTTTGGATCACCAAATTTAAAATATTTTGTATAGCTGTCCTTCAAGACTGACTATGGCAGTTCTTCGTTCAAGAAGGTTTAAATTAAATAAGTCCTTTTGGCTGAATAAAAGACACGAGTATTGATATGATGATTTCAAGTAATGGTCAAAATACATTGTTAAACGGAAGCTATAGTAATGAATAATTACCTATATAAGTGGCAGCCTCCTGAAACCTTCCACATTTGTTGCCATTGGTCGCTAATTTCTTCTGTAATTTGCTTTGACCCATTCCCTCTACAGTACTAAAATATATTACGGCAGTCCAAGACTCCCTTTTATTTTTTAAGTTACTTTTTAGCAACTTTTCTCTTTAGTTCTTCCTTATATGACAGAATATCGCCTTTCCACGGTGCTATTGTCTGTTTTTCACAAATCCAAATTTCTTTTGCAACCTGTAGAGAGTGGAAAATAAACCAAGATCACAACAAAGCTGCAAAGATCACTTGTTCAAGAAAATTTAGTACAAAATGCTTTTTACTTCGACACAGCGAAAAGAAAATCTTAAAAGATTTTACTAAAACACGAGCCGAAAAGTTCTTCACTCTCAAAAGGTAAATTTGATCAATAACTGCTCCTTGTTTGAATTTCATAAACCTAAACCCAGAAGCGATTAACATGTAACTTCTCCCTGTAATATCCGTACATTATCCAGCAAACAGGTAACGAGAATATTCAAACTTATCAGGTAGAAGTTGTCCTCTCGATATAACACCAAATTCTTGTAATTAATTCACAAGGAAATGTGTAGCAGCTAGATGGGAGAATTAACTATCAGATCTTGGGAGTTGAAGGGTAACCACAAAGGCCAATCCGAAAGTAAAAACATGTATAACACCAAGAACAGAAAGCGCGGGAAAATGCGAATGACCGCGTCGAAGTTGATTTTGGTTTGGCATCTGATTGGTGGAGAGTGTGGCGTGAGATTTCTGGACCAATCACTGTGCGAAGTGAAGTAAACCAATAAAATCCCAAGTTACTTTGGACTCTTGAGAGAAAGATTATATTCAAACCTGGTTTATAAGTCGGAAGTCGTGACTAACAAGGACCATTCCCCCTTCAAAGTCGTTAATAGCGTCTGCCAAAGCGTCAATGGTCTCCATATCCAAGTGATTAGTGGGTTCGTCAAGTAACAGGAGATGTGGGGCTTGGAAGGCCAGCCAAGCAAAGACCACTCGGCATCGCTGCCCATCAGATAAATTGCGCATGGGACAAATCTGTGTTTGATTGGAGACGAACTACTGATCAGCATCAATTTTCTTTCAATAGGCATTATCTTGAATTATTGGTTAAACGAAATATACATTTGTCACGAGCGTGACAGTAGAAAAAAAAAAAACTGATTCCCAAGCAAGGTTCTTACTCGCCACCTGCAGTTTCGACAGTCCCCAAAACACAACACAGAGTGAAGTGACTTGCACAACAAGAGAAGAAATGAATAAAGAAGTCAAGTCTGTAAAGAAAATGTGGTGCTGCGTCCGTGGGGGTATTACAAGCTAATTCTATCAACTGAGTTGTTAATGTAAATTGTCCACTGTAAAGCGTTTCCAATGCTGACGTTTCGAGCGTTGCTCCTTTGTCGGAGAGAAATCAAGTTGATTACGTGAAATGGCCATAGTAAAGAGATTATAAAACTGACATTTCGAGGGGCAGTCTTCCGCTTCAAACGCCAGCTTTAGCGTCTCTCTACGGTAACCAATTAACATTATGAACTCACTTGATAAAACCAAATTATCTATGAGCGCAGTTCTATGACCTGAAAGAGCTTTGATCGAGACAGGTGCAGCGACTGGACAGCAAACGTTGTGTACAGTGAAAGGTTGATGTTATAGTTAAGCTGTCCCTCTAATGTTACATATTCTTACTCTACACAATCTTAATGAAAAATTGTAAAACTCGATGTAGAATATCAGATTGACTCAACATCTATCTATGTTGCCGTTTGTATGCTCAGTATTGTACAGTGGAACCTCGATTTAACGAAGTGCCAGGGGACTGGGGAAATTGGTTCGTTATATCGAGATTCTGTGGCATACATTTTACTGTAACTTTAGCTAGGCTAAAACTGAAGTATCGTTCGTCATACCGAAGACTCCGTTAAT